CAATAGCTTACATCTTACTATAATCAATGTATTTCAGCCTGAAGAAAGGTTGTTACACACCGAAATATCGCGGAGGATTTCAAAAGGATTCTTTTTCAATTAGCTTTCTGTTCTTTTGAAACTTTCGAGTTTTTGGAATTTTCGAACTTTCTGAACTTTTGGAATTCTTTTGAAATAAAATTTTGGTGCCTCTCTGTGTTATACAATATTTAGGTGCTGATGAGGCTCCGGGACAGCACAATATTAAGACGAGTTGCAATGTTCGACCTCTTCTTTAAAAGAGCAGGTCAGGATCGAGGTGGGGTATTTTGGCGCTTGAAAGTGAGTGCAGAGATGCGAAATGGAACTCTAGTGAAGAGAAAAGTGGAGGAAGCCGTCGACAAGACAAAATAATAGTTCTCTTCCCACCGCGGGGATGGAGGCTGGCATAGGAGGAATGCATGTCTTAACGAGTTTTCGGACATGCCAACCATTGCTGGCTCCATGAAATGAAGTGATTCGGCAATCATCCCAGCTGATTTCACGCATAATGCCAGCCGCGCACCACTTCCGGCGGTGGGCTGTCATAGCTCGCATCGTCCTAAATGATAGGTCAGGGTTGTTATAGCCACGCGGTTTCAAGTCACGAGAGCGGCACCACCCCTATGGTTGCAGACCCAGTCATACTATGAACAGAGCGGGTTCTCTTGCTCGCTTAGTCCCGACCCGTGCTTTTAACCAGCCCTTAGTCACTCTCGATGGGAACCCCTTGCGCAATGAATCTGAAGCGCAGCCGGACACTACTACCAAAGGATTGTCGTAGACATCTAGGCACCGCCAATGCACTATGAATTGCCATGTATGGGACAGGCAGCAGCAGAATGGGCCTCGATGGAAACCGCGTGCATCAACCGACCTTGGCCGAGAGGCTCGCTTGACCATCTGCGGAAGTCTCATTCTGTTATCGTATAGACGGGGCTTCCCCCAGTTGCTTCCCAGTGGAAATGAGTCATGAGTTCACCACGACAACAAACCACGGTACGCCTTGCCTCGCCTAGCTGCATCACCTCCAAGACCCACCATCTCAATCGAAACCCAATCCCTGCTAGAAGAGTATATTACGGTTTGTTGGACTCGCTAAATGTCCGGATTCGAGAGCCGCTTCAGTATTTGCAAACAAGAATCGCAACGGTGGGATTAGCTCGCGAGGTTGGCCTTCAGAATTGTGTCGACATGTAATCAAATTTCCACTGAACCGTTTTTTTTTTCGGAAACGTCTTCAGATGCAAGTTTTTGGGGCATTCATAGGTCAAAGTATCATTATGCGGGGCAGTGTATGGCGTTCGCTTTTGGCGCCAGCGCCAAATCGGCGTTTGGTGCCAGCCCCAAATTGGTGGCTTTGCACTGTCGTCAAAAACGAATTCCATATGTCCATATCCATATGTGTAACAGGGTACTGAATAAATAGCCTGTAAAGAATTTTCCAAAGAAAACAGGTGTTGCGCCATGTCGATGCAGTTCTACCCCAATTTGGCGCCCACTTCAAAAATAAAAATAAATGTTATATTTGTGATCTCGCAATGAATAACCCCATGAAAGACTTTCCCTAAAAAAAACTCGTTCTCTGGCACAATAAGTTATGTAGGGCCGACTTTCGACAACTGAAATTGTTTCTTTAATAAAATCCAAGAGAAGGAAGATCCCCACTGCCCAGGACTAGCGCAAATTATGTGGGTGTGAATATTTCTTTCATCAGAAAAAAAAACTTTTCAAAAAACGTAATTTGCCCAACAAACTTCTATTCAAAGTCCGTCAGCCACCCGTGCCTGACGCTCTCCGAAGTGAACATCTTGGTGTCAGCCACTGGTGTTAATGTGAACCGTTCCACTATCTGACTTCATAACAACGCTCAGAGAATATTGTGGCCTATTTTGAAGTCGGCTTTTGAGAATGGAGTCAAAATAGTCGTACTATCGAAAGTCATCATGACAAACAAACTTCTTCCTTATAAGAGGGAAAGGCTGAGCATGGTCGAGAAAATCAGAACAGCTAGGTGAATACTTACAATTGTTATTTGCCACAGAACCAGTGGGCTTTTGCTCGTCCAATAAGTTTGCGATTGTTTCTTTGAATAACCGTTCCGCTGATTTCGATGAGGCTTTGTGGAGTTCCCTGGAGCGACATTTGACATTTGCAAAGAAATAAAAGAAGAAAAATATAAGACAAAACCGCTTTCAAAGAATCATTCTGGTAGTATTAGCTGCGAAAAACACTGATTACCTAATGATGTCTTCGATGCGCACCGTGGAATCACTTGCGGTAATCTCGATGGCATCCTCGGGATCAACGTTTTCTTTTACACTATCCATATCTTCTAAACACATTTGGAATATCTTGATCCTTTAATCGTTTCTCTTTACAGTTAAGGTATTTTACTCATCGACACTGAGTTACTAGTAAAACACTTACTTAAACCGAATTTCGGGCAATGTGTACTGCGGGGAGAGCAGCTGTTGAGCAGAACAAGGTAATAAGGTGAAAGTGAATAATATCACCAGTTTTCACTTTGCCATTTCACCGAAATCGATTAAGCGGCTTAGTTCGGTGAGTGTTTATTCAATTAGCCTGAGAAAGTGCATCCAGACCTTTAATGTGATACTAAAGAGTTTACCAGTGGCCCAGATTCTGGTCGATCTCTTTGATAAGTTATCCGTTTTGCATACAGTCCAGCACCATTGTCAAAAGCTTCATAATCAATCAGTTTGGTTGTGCGCGCTAGGAGCCTGGCGATATGGAAGCGCGGCCAGAATCTCAGAATCCAGCACTGCCCACCACCAGCATTTGACATCCCTCTCATATCTACATCTGCCGATTTTTCCTCGTTTTCCGTCCTCGTAGTACTGAACCAAGAGAATTTCGGTTCTAGCCCCGCCCACTTCGGCGTAAGCTACGCCTACTTCGATGGACACAATCACCACATGGCCTTCCTTTTCCCTCCATCACCTTTGCCTTTTTCGGTGTCTGGGTCATCTTTGAACAGCATTACGAATTGGTTTCAACCCCGCTCACTGACGCTTTTTCACGTGGCCTTCCTTGGCAGTCCCACTTTTTTTCGGCTTCTAGGCTGCGACAAAACCGAAGGATAAGGTTAGTTATCAAATTACTCCCACTCCGATGCCGTTCATACCAAATTGGCAGTTGACCATCCATCTACTTTGCAGACTTTAATACATTTTATTACTGTTTTCTTCTTACCGTTCAGCTGGAGCCCACCTTCTGCCAGCTATGTTTATCTTTTTTATTATTCTATATGAGGTGCTCACTGTTGCCTCAGCTCCATCGTCATCTTGGCCCGAAAGATCACATGTTTTGAAACGTTCCGTGTTCTGAGCGCTCTCCATAGGAGTGCTCGCGATAGACGGTTGAACGTTCTTTTTCAGGTCGAGAAAGGCTAAGCAGCAGGGTCAGCGCTTCTCGCTACTCTTCCCCATTACTTAAAAATGAGATGGCGTTAATGGTAAAATTTCAGCATGAACCCGACTGTTCCTTGGATTTCTTGACTAGTTGTCTTAAGTTCTAGTCGACTAATCGCTTGGGCCCTTTTATGGTATGCGCAGCCATTTTGATCCTTCCTGTGGTAACTGGAGCAGCCCAACGCGTGACCCTCCTGCCTGAAGATAAGGAGGATTTAATCTCAAGACATCCAGCATCGTTCCTCGTTACTGCGGTGCTGATAAATCGGGTGAACCATCCTATCTCACACTATCCGACCTCTTCAGCTGGTAACCATCTGAGCCAACTGTTTCCCAAGCCTTCATCCTCCCTACATGTCGATGAACCTCATGCTCTGTCCACAATGAGGTGGGACCAGCCGTCGTCTCTGCTTGTGGATTGTCCTTGTGGGTGACTCTCGTTCAGATCAGAGGTCCAGTGGAGTATTCTTCATCTCCTCCTCATTTCAACTAGCTTCCTTCGTTTCGGCTGGCTGCTCAGGATGGCACAATTGCTGCTTTTTACACGATTCATCACCCCGATGTCTTGAGTAACTCGGTTTGGAGCCTAAGCCAGCATTTAGATGAATTTTTCTCCAGATGAAAAGCAAGTCAACATAGAGAAAAGTCCAATAGACGATAGAGGCGAAACCATCATTCAACACATTGAGGACAGCACGCGCGTTTGTGCGTCACGTTTTCGCACGGTTTTATACGGACTTTATCAATATTAAAAACTCCCCGTATGCTAAGCGGATCCGAAGACTAAATGCCTGTTCCCATTACGAAATTACTAACCGTGCGTACCGCGCGGAGAGAGTGAAAAGCGTCAGCACGTTCTCTGGCGCACGATGCGTACTTGGCGCGCGGTCGGCGACTTCCGATCGATAAATTCGGTTCATTACATTCTCCTTTTGATTTCCATGTGTTCCGTGTCGTGTTGTTTTGCTCGTTTTTTTTTCTGACAAGGATATTTTTTTCGTGTGAATCATTGCTTTTCAACTGTCCTAAAATGGTTAGGTTCATAAAGTGTGTTTGAAAGTGGGAGTAAGCCCAGGTGAGTTTATTAGTAAGCAAAAGCAGTAATCCATACAAAAAAGAAAGTTTTGAGCCAAACAAGCGCAAGTGAAAACAAAACCGCACACAAAACGTCAGCTAAAAAATAGAAAAAAACGTATTGAAGCTAGGAAGGCGCCGACTGCGTGCCAAGTACGCATCGTGCGCCAGAGCACGTGTTGACGCTTCTCACCCTCGGCGCGGTCCGCACGGTCCTACGGTCCGCAAACTATGAATGCAGCCTTATCGCGCGTCACGCTCTTTCAGCCGCAAGAGTGGCTGCAGCTGGCCAACTATTTCAACTCCCTGGAGGGACTGTTTGAGTGAGGTGCCCCCTGAGACTGTGCGCCTCATTTCTTTCTAATTACAGTGGATCCTTTTTTTTACACTGCGTAATTACCATAGGGTAGCGTCGAATTTGACATTGGAGATGTTTCATTTTGCACTCCTTGTGTTGCTGTTGTTGACACAATTTCAGTACGTTGGGTTGTTGGTACAGATTCGGAGCGTTGGGTTGTAGGAGATGTGAGAGTTGAGATGTGGGGCACGGTCGTGTCCTGAAAGATGCTTTTTGGAGCTATAATATTCCAGCCGTACAGTATGTACCTGAAAGTTTGTTGTCTCCAATGCATCTTCACCATCTGACCCAATTCCATTAGAGGTTTGACGTGGCAGGTTTATGATTTTCGGTGAAGTGCTTAGCGTGACCGGAATCGATGTCGTTGTACGAGTGTTTAATGTGAAGAAGCTAATCGTTGGTATCGGATTTGATTAGCGTAACCGGAGAAGAAGCAACATGAGGCATACGTGTTGTTGATGGCAATCCGAAAGTAGATTTGGTGGCCTTCTTTCCCACTTTCCTGGAACTTAACATTTACATTTTGATCCTCATATCCAAATATAAGTTTCGAAAGGGCATAGAAAGTGCGCACTAACGTGTACGATTTGGGAGAAGCAGTATGCTTGCGGGTTGTCGTCTTTTTCGTATCTCCGTAGATATCAGCTATAACAGAAAAGAAATTACATTCAGAACACTTTCCCAATTATAAAGATCTTACCAATGTTCCGTGGCGCTAGGTCGCAGAACCTCACCACGTAAGCTTGGTTTTCAATACGAATTGCATTTATTAGCTGGTTCTCATGTCTAAAACAGCTTCTTTAACTCCAAGTTGCTCAATGAATTATTTAAAACGCATTTTTAGTAACCTAATTCACTATCAATGATTTGTATCGGCTACATTACTTCCTTTAAGCAACATGGTTCAAAGGTAAGATTCAGGATTAAATTGATGGGGTAATTCTACTCAAATGGGAAGGTAGTGGTGGAGAGTGAACTGCCAGTGGAGAGAGAAAAGAAAAAATCGTGAAATACACGGAAAATACAAGCCTTTAGCTCCACATTTTGGAGAAGTTCAAAAGGCCGGCAAGGAGATGAGAGATAATGTGAGCGCGGAGAGAGGTAGAGAAGTCCGAGTAAAGAGAGTATACCAGATCAACATTGCGACGCAGACAAGATATCGAGCGGTGGGTGGAGCATGACAGTACTGGTAGAGTGTGTCAAAGTCCTTAGCGCCTAATGTCTAAATAACGCTTTTGGACGTAGGGAAGTACCGCGACCTCTGCTTTTGCGTACCTGGCGCTTCCAGCTACACTAAAGGCTCATTAAGTGGAGCTGAGCTTGAACTTTGCCTTTAAAGACTGCCTAGAAACAGAGGAGACGCAAATAGTGCAAAGGAGGAGCATTTAGGCCTCGCAATGGGAGGTGTATGCAACGATAAGCGAAACCCTCCCAAACCCTCCGCAGTTGCGAGCGAGCAGGTAGGGGGGGGCTGGGTAGCGTAGAGCACTGGACGTTAACGATTTGAGGTTCGACGTCGTAACTTTGTCTTCCCATATCTCCTTTCTCATTTCCATCTAGTCTTTGTCTAACGACTCGTTCTCTCCCATGGGGCAACTATGGTCTACGTCAAAAATCCTCGGCCGTTCCCATCCCTGGTAAGGAGTCGTCAACTTTTTAGAACGATGAACAGTGTACACATAAACATCAGTGGGGGATCAAGCAAGTAGCACGTGAAGACGCATTTCATGATTGTATAGGGCAGAGTGTGCACTCAAAAATGAAAGTTGATGTACGAAACGGAACTATAAAAAATGATAAAGCATATGCCGTTGATCAATCCCTTTTTGGGATGCGGCACGCATACTACTTCCACTGGAACATTCGTAGTGGCGTTTGAATGCGATGTGGCCCATACAATGACTTGCGGGGGCCAGCCGATGTACAAGTCAGTGTTTTTCCTCCCAAACAAGTCTGGTGATACCAATTAAGCGACCCCGGAGGAATGGAAGGCTTGGTTGGCGACTCACGATCCAAGATTTGCTCCCCAGACCGCTCGCGTGGTAAGCGTGCCACTTGCCACTACCCCACTTCCGCCCTTCACAAGCGGAGCTATAGTGAAGAAAAATAAAAAGAAATTGCCGAAAACCGTGAAAAGAGAAATTAAGAGCGATTGAGAAATCTCTCAATCGCTCTTAAGGCTGTGCAAGCGCCGGAAAGATGAGAGACTCTGAGTTCTGAGGAAAGAGAATAGCCTTGCAAAGCAGTCAGAGAGGACAATTCGTGAGCGAGAGTATGGTATGATCATCAACAATCATCAGCGGTGACGACAGCACCAAACGCCTTTGTCGCGTACTTTCAAGCAGCCGTAATGGTACATCTGCTGGTAGCGAATATATTGTTTCCCAAAGCCAATAATGACAGTTTTGAAACATGAGGAAGACTTCATCGTCAAAGAAAAACGAGTGCCCTACGCGCGAAAACGTGACGCGCAGCTGGCTCACGCTGGCTCCAACGAATTAAAGGCAATGATTACGAAAAATTTAAGAGGGGTCTCTTGCAATGTGGTTGTGCTCAATGGTACGCCACTGGCGAGAAAAGCGGAAAAATCCCTTAAGAAAACGCAGAACGGAACTCCCTTTTTTTATAGTTGGTTTTCAATCTCCAACAGGTAACAGCTCAGAAAGTGGAGTTATGAACGAGTTCAGCGTAATGCATTTGGTGGCACGTTTGCCAAATTACGCTTCAATCGAAGTGCGCCATTTGCGCCGCTGCTAGCCACGCAGCTCGTTCAAACTGGTGGGCGGATCGCTTTTGGGGGGGGGGGCGGAGTGCTTTCGAAGTCCTGTTCAGCAACCAGAGCACCTTTCGTTTTGAAACACTACACATAGCCTTCTTGGCAACCAAATAACTGCTTCGTGTGGTGCATATGCTTCCCCGATGCACTCCCTCTTTATCGTAATCGCTGCCTTTGAGTAAATTTTGAAGTACCATGTCATTACCGTTACGAAACGATGGCACGTACAGTTCTGCTGTCAGATTGTGGGGATTATGTGCAACATTTGCAGCAGCCCACCGTTAGGAGAAAATGCATCTTTTAGCAGTAATAAGTATTTCGGAAAGGAGACGTTTTTATTCCAGAACTACGCCGCCCGCTAATTGATTAACAGTTTCAGAGTGACAAGATAAGATCGAAAACTGGGTTAATGACAGAAATCGCGATAAAACAGATGTTCATGAAAGAGAAAGACAGGCAGTGGAAAGGAGTGTCCAAGTAGATGATATGTGTGTGGGACTCGCGGCGGAATGCGCACTATCAATGGCGATGAAGGGCTAAAAAATTGCTTTGAAAGCCCCTCCGACTCTCTTACACGCTCACCGCTGGCGCGTGGAACGGGTGACAGAGGCAACATGGAACGGGTGACAGAGGCAACATAAATTAAATGAAACGATGACCGTCACCGTCCCATTTTCTTTTCTAAATGCACTGTTGCACCCTTCAGCCAGGGTGAATAACGGTCGAAGAACCCCTCGACCATCGCTCTCTGCTGTGCGAGAGTAGAGCCGATAGTGAATGTACGCGCAGAGAGCACATACGGCTCGCGGGTGGCGAAAGTGAATATCATCGCGCGAGAACGTAAAGGATTAGGCGAAATCCTCGACGGTCCGTCGAGGAATCTTCAAGCAATATTCACCCTACCTTCAGCAAAGCAGCAATTGTCTATTGATCGCTGTGGGCATGACTCCAGAGTTTAAAGGAGGATTGCACGGAAAGAACGAAGGTCGAAGAAGGGAGAAATCGCCTAGTGGGGAGAGCGGTGAATCTCTTGAGGGAGCGGACAGACACGCAATAGGCCTCAAAAGATTTGACCTCTGAGATCTCAAAGTTGGCGAGTTCGGCGGATCTCCGCCACCGATCGTCTGATCACTCGCCGTAGTACAATAGGTGGCGAGTGATTAGATAGCTGAGAGCGTAGAGTTTGAAGAGGGCAAAGCGATGAGAGTCCCATCAATGCTCAAATCGAGACAAGGAAGGGGTCCATTTCTCCGGTTGGCCGTTTTTCGTGGTTTTCTTTTCTTTCTGGTACTACTCACCATCTCTACCTCAATTTGGAATGGGTTGCTTTTCCATCGTAAATTCGTCCTTTAAGTCCACACATACCACCTCTGCATTACGGCAAACTCGTCCACTCCCAAAATCAACGGGATAGGGTCTTCGTGCTATTGAGCGTCTCTCTTATTTTTCAGTGTTCACATACGTACCATTTGGCACCTCTACCTCGACATTTCAGCACTATCAGCTCATCACAGGAACTGACTATAAGGTGAAAGCGGTGGCTCTGTTGTGTAATTGGTACTTCAACTGCCCGGATAGTAGCTGGAAAGGGCTGGGTGTGGATCGCTAGGACAGAGCGCGATTTTTTCGCGTTTTGCAGCGGAAGCATCTTTCGCTGCAGTAACGCCAGGTCCACTCACGGTCAGCAGTGGACCTGAGGTTCCTGCTGTGGAAAAAGGTTTCGCGCTGCGAAAAGTGGGAACGTCGCGTTCTGCCCTAGCCAACCACACCAGAAAGGACCGCAGGGGGCCTAGCTGTGCAGTACCATTCCGTTTTCAGCAGAGAAGTGCGCTCGGTTCCTGCCTGAGCGAAGGTTTGTCATGACTGCTTTTTTGTGATGACAAGAATATCAGATTAGCAACATACAATCTATTTCTCAATATAGATTTCCGCTTTTCACTGTAAGAGAGAACATGAGAAATCGGTGGCGTGAAAAGTTTTGCATTATGAAAACTGGAGTTAATGAGCGGACATGAAATAATTGTGAGGAGTCAAATACGAAACAACCCAATAAACTGGATATATAGTTTTTTTTCGTCTTGGAAGAATCTTATAAACACTCAAATAAGGCTTGTGCAATGTTCTGGAATTATAGAACAACTCTAAACATTCTTGGTGGGCCTGGACGGAGCACAACCCAGGACCGCGCGCGTGGTAAGCGTGCCACTTGCCACTACACCACTTGCCCTTGGCACAAATTCAGCAATCAATTTTGGAGGATACCGTGAATTTCACTCTGTAAATCTCGGAATTCCTTTTCATCGATTAGCTAACAATGTCATACCTAGCTGAAAAGAACCGCTGTGGAGCTCGACAGTACCGTACTATAAACTGTTTACCAAATAGTATACTTTCTTTAGGGTCACTAGGAGAAGCTTGTCCAAGGTCGTCTAGAGATGCTCAAGAATGGATGGATGCTCGAATTATCCGATTCAAGGGTGAATGAGCCTGATCCCTATACTTCAATTTCCATACTTACACATCTTTACGTTCTTTTTTTTGTTTTGGCTCCGTGACTTTTTTTCACACCTAAAGTCGTGGTCGCAGCGAGTGTGGACGAGTTGAGTGTTCCCACTGGCCGAGCTAACTTAAAACAGTCCATCAGCACAGTATGGGCGCCTTGACGCAGCTGCGATGCAGCGGTCTGCAACAGCGTTAGCACAGCCAATTCGTCCGCGCCTGCTGCGGCCACGCCTTCAAGTGTGGAAAAAGTCACAGAGCATTTTGTTCAAAACAACAAAGAATAAAGAGGTGAATATTTGCCAATACATGGCTGAGCTATTTTCTTGAGGATTTGTAATCACTACTTGACCAAACTCACTCAATGATTGTACTCTTGCTGAGACCAATAGGCTTGTTGAAAGGTGTTTCTCGGCAATTGAACTCATCACGAGAACGAAGACGACAACAAAGAATTTGTAGCCTGAACGAGAGATGATCGAGATGATCTTCATGACAGCAGCAGAAGTCTTGCAATTTCAAACTAAAAAAAAATCAAGCACCGTGTATCAGTCAAACGCGCGATGCCAGCTACGTATTCTCTACGCTTACAGCTGAAATCAGTAGTCTCGTCCAAAATCGGATCAAACATCGCGGAATAATAGCAGTCTTCTCTTTCTATTTCAGAAATACCGGTTGGTATATTGACCCATGGGAAAAGCTGAAACAATCAATACTACTCAAATTTTTTACGATTGTTTAATGTGACTTTACACCTGTTCTACTCCTTCGCAGCTCATATCAAATACAACATCTTGTCTTTTTGCACCAACAGATTCCACCATTCTTATAGAAACATCCGTCGCTGCAGCCTTGAAAGTCACAATCAGCCATGTAATCAGCCAATACAGTAACACTTGATCAACGGCCTACTCTTTTAGGACATTCCATTCTGAAATTATCAAAAGGCGAGGACACAAATGCGTTCCGAGCAGCAACCACTGGCAGCAGAAGTATTACCAGTAGCATCTAAACGTAATATGTTGAACTTGATTTAAGAATCAATCATGAAAGAAAGAGCTTAGACGCATCAACAATGCTACTAGCTTCAAAAGACTGAGATTCAGCACTTGATGCTACACTTACATTGAACGCAACTGCCCAGAGTTCAAGAAAGGCTGATTGTAAAGGTGTATCCTTCACAAAGAAATCGAAAAAGCGCTTGTTGTGCGTAATTGAGGTCAAATCCCGGTCACTGGACCGGGGCGGTGACAACACACCATACCATCTACTAGACACCGTGAAGGGAATAGGTTATTGATATCAATTCTCAGAAAAGGTATGGCAACATAGCATCTGAAGACAATTTCATATCGCGAAAGAATCAAATGTTAATTAGAACCCTTTATGATCCATTTGTACTGCTAATTTTTAACAACTCATCATCCCACCTCCCCTTGAAAAAAGTTGAACTCGGGAGTTGTTGAAAGAGGAGCAGTAGAAAATATGAGCTAGATTTACTGATCGGGATGGTCAACGCGATAGGGCATACATAGTTCGCTGTACTTGATATCGTTGATTTCGCAGGGTTAATAAGTGGGACAATGGAAATTGGCCTTGCGCTAAACTTCGTGAACGATCTCGACAGCGCACACTACCGAACTTTCGCTACTTCTAATCAACCACAAACTTCATTCACAAAAGAAAAAAGAATTCCATTGAGCGAGAGAAAGATCACGCAGATAACCCACACCTCATTCAATTTCAAAACACAATTAATTACATTTTTTTTCAGAACCAAACCGAATAAGCTGAATTGCGTATTGAAGAGCGTATTCTAGTCTATCAAAAAATCATATAGGGGCTTTCTACACCGACGACATCAGAAGATTTTCCCACGGAAACATGGTGCACGGTACAAGCTCATGTCGTCAACAAATCATAGACGATTACGAAGTCTCTGGAAGCTGGTCAAAAGCCATTTCGCAGAGTCGGAGCTAGTGACCTAAAGAAGCCAGTCACCAGTTATCCGATTGAAGAAATTGTGTAGCAGCTTCAGAATGGAGCGATTATGGTAGGCTTCCTGGAGTCGCCGGTGATGACGATGACGTCATCTTCGGAGACGGTGAAGGCAGCAAATGTGGACCTGATTCTGCTCATGGGGAGACATCTAAGAAATATTTTGCCGTATAACTTCCAATAACGGCGGCATCCTTTGCGACAAGTTTGATGATATGTGCCATAGGCAAATTGACTCGTTTTTTAGGCCTCCCTGGATATAATTGACGAGGCGACTTTGTCTTCCAACAGAAACAATGTAAGAGAATTGAAGTTCAGTGATCGAACAGAGCAGTCGTGGAAGTGATGTAGTGGTGAGGGACGCTCCTTACCCAGCTTGGAAATGAAATCCTATGCGTAGGCCATTAGTTTCTCAACCCGGTCGGGTTGTTGGCACTAGAATTAGCTGGCTGCGTGGAGTGAAATACTGAATTGTACATACATTGGCTTACATCGTCTGGTCCCCCCCCCCCGACCGCGGCCCCATAGAAAAGCTCACCGGTGGTGCAGTCGGTGCCGGTGACGTCGCTTTGCAAAAGTTTATCGTACTCTGACTTCCCTGTGTAGGTGATGTAAGTAGGAATTGAAATCGAAGAACGGACTCATAGGAGCCATGTTCAGCTTGATGTGCATTCCCTTAGACTTACGCGTAATTGTGTTGATTTCCTTCATTTCTTAATGATCGTGTCCCACAACTGGAACAGTGGTACCTAAAAATTCCTACACGAGCGCGAGGATGGCATCCATGCGCGATATAATCGTTTCATTCCCTGCACACTACTGATTGATAGGTCAATGAAGCTCAGTAATCCGTTCTGTTACTGTTCGAGTGTTAGCAGCGCTTGCTCGTTCTTCCGTCGCCCTCGCCGCGGCTGTGACGTCACCAGCACGCGCCCGCGTCCGCACCGCCGGTAAGTTTTTCTCTCCCCCCCCTATGGTGGTATGGTTCCTAATTCATTTCTGTTTTTGCTTGAATATTTACACTGCTTCACTAATGCTGTTCTCATTTAAGCCTTTTGCCGACGTTATGGACCCATCCTACAAAACATCACCACGATTCCGGAGAATAATGCACAGCGCGCCCCAATAGCTGAACGCCCATCCATTTGCTGTGCAGAGCAAATTTGTCCCACTCCTAATTCGAAAATATGACCGCAAAATCAAGCAAACATCACATCGAAATCACACTAGAGCTCTTTTGGAATCTAGCAGATCATTGTAAGGGAGTGAAAATGGCTTCAGTGCAGGAAGATGTTCTTACGATCCACCGTAAAGGTAAACGGAGTAGCCAGGTATGAGTCAGGAAGCCCTTTTTGTGGAAACGACATAGCAAGTGGCATCACATACGCGGTTCATGCCCTATTAGCCGCAACAATGACTAGCCATCATGCAGACGCGTGCGCGGTACCCTAGTTTCAGCGAGGAATGTAAGGCGCCCGTGCTATACCTCAATTGGCCTGGTGCGGACTTTCTCCATAGGCGAGTTTTTGCAACGTAGGAAGCGAGGTTCACGAAGCAGCCCATTAGAAATCAGGGTAGAGGTGTTCAGTGATGAAGAAAAACTAGACAAAAAACGGCCAGAGAAATGAAAACTCCTCCTTGCCCGGTAATTTGCGCGAGGCATGTCTCATCTGACCTCATCAACGCTAAGGCATTCTTTGCTAAACGGCTAGAGTCAGACGGTAAGGGGGTGGGCGCAGCGATGCAAGCGGCGCGTGTATGGCCCAGCTAAGCCGCTGGAGACATACCCTTTGCTGCGAAACCCGCACCGTCCACTCCTAGTGGCCTCTGGTCCCACTAAGTACACAAAGTCTTCTTCAACCCAGAATCCTCTTTTGGAGTCCATCTTCCGTAGAATTAGCCTATCCGACTCTTTTTTCAAAGGTACCTCAGAACTTTCGCGAGCCAGCGAGTTTTAGAGATTCCAACGAACGCAACTTCTACCACAGTGATGTACAGAAAAAGGGTTGGAAATTAGGAGATTAGTGCTTTCTAACAAGCACAAAAACTGTTTCGTAGACTTACTCGCTTAAAAACATCCCTTCTTCCTCTTTTGAGACTTGAATATCGAATCCTTCCAAATCATTTCACTTCTTTGCGCTGAATTTTGTTCAAAAACATCTGAACTTCGTCAGTGCAGTCTTTTCGCTTATGACAAATCAAATTTGGAACGCTCAGTGCTGGCAACTCCTGCTCTGGGATGCGCCACGCCCCCAAGTCGTAAAAAAATGAAGGTCCTTTCGTGCTATGTCCTGAATGCCGACCATTAAAATCCTTGTTGGGTTGTTACTGAAGCCTGAGCCAGAGAATGTGAACCCCTTTTCTTGCGCCGTTTCCACCAATGTTCATGAGAAGTGTTGAGTCCGCCACGATTTCAGCCGCTGGTCTCTGCATTTACGACTCCATCTCTCCCTGACTTAATACGACCCCACGTGGATCGGCTGGGCAAATATGTAGCTGATCCTACACGAAACCGGCATCGTAACCACCAGGTCACCTGTCCAGACTCTTGAATCGTACGCGTAACACTTATACTGATAATATCATGCTGAGCTTGAGTTCAGTTCGTACCACAAAGCTGACTGCGTTCAAATCATCCTTCAGCAGATATGGAGTACTCATTTGACACGTTGACGACAGCGTGCCGCAGTAACGCGCCCCACCTTGCGCTCTCGTGGGACATCGTGACGCGGTAACCCGTCCCACCCAAGTCATCCCTTTTTTTGCAATTGTGCGACTTAGTCCTAATGTCTTTGTACTCATTCTATAGATCGTACTTTAGCGTACTTAGAAACCACATGGCTCACAGAAAGGCCAAATATTTTTTAGTTTGGCAGACTTTTTCCGGACCTTACCGAAATGTCTGTTGAACTCATTCCTCGTTTTCATTTCAATAACGTATACATGTTGATAAAAAGGAATAACAGAAGTGAGTACAATCCTATTCGTACGGGAAGATGTGTTTTTTACTGAAACAACAACGTCCTAATTAATTTTGGAACAACTGGAGGTAAATTAAGTAAAATTTCCCTTTTTATGGCCCTAACACGTCATTTTGGTCAAACTTCAATTACTGTAACTCTTGATAAGCTAGACAGATCGACACCATTGAAAACATTTCATCGCATTTAAGTATTGCAGCCTACAGCTTAAAATCCATGGATGTGGTGTGCGGCGGCTGCGCTCGCATTTCGCTCTTGTCCAGGGTCAACCCTGCGTTGCGCAAATTCCAAAATTTTTACGACCCCCTTCCTTTTCGGGGGGTATCGGTACGACCCCCATATTTAACTATCATGTCTTTCACATAATTTTATGCTCATCAATGCTCATCATTGATGGCAGTCACCAACATGGAGAAGTGCTGGACCGTGGTCAATCCGCGCGCTTTGTCTCGCTCAGAGGAGGGAATCGGGGCAAATGAAGTTTTATGCATTGAATAGAAGGAATTTCCAAATTTTTGCGTAAACCAATACATCGTTTTAATCGTAAAGATTTCTACTTTCAGAAATCTACCAAGTTTTTTTCGATCTAAAAACTAAACCTTGTAGCAATTACATTGCAATCCAAACCCCTCCATCCTGAGGAGTATTTGAAACGTTGTGGATGTTCAGTATCCCAAAAAATCGTCCCGTTGTTCCGTTTTTTGTGCACACGCGAGTTTTCCACATTCAAACATTCATAACTTTCTTTATACCCAACTTCTTGCAGATGTTCAAGGGTAATCAGAAACTAGAAGATTAGCGCTTTCATACGAGCGCCTCACTTTTTTCCAACAATCACTCTCTCGAAAAATAGTCCCACTGTTCTGTTTTTGGGGGGTTTGTGGTCCGATTTTTAAGAAGGCGCGAGTTTTCGACATTCAATCGTTCATAACTTTCTCCATACTCAACATT